TATCACACTTCACACTGTGCACATAGCTGAGGGCTTCCAGGCTCTCACACGTAAGCATCTACCCCCTGCCGGTATACTTCTAACTGCTGACATGACGCACAGAACACAGCACCTGTATTGCTGAATTTGTATTTAGTGGGCATCTGGTTGTTGGGGAAGCTCATAGTTATCCTGGACAATAATCCTGTCTCATTGGTGGCAGCGGTGGGATTCCAACACACACCCTCGGAGAGACTGGAGCGGAGGATAAGGAGTTCCGGGCTCGCATGATTATGCAACAGCTCTGGGGGAACTGCTACCGCCGCTAAGCCAGGACAAGAACAAAGATGCCCTCAAGGATGATGAGGAGGTTATGAAGCTGCTGAAGACACGGTATGGCCACACTAGGGCCTGGGTGGCCTTTTGAAGAACCGTTCCAGGAAGGGAGAGAAACAACTCCAGCTTTCCTCAGGTGTCTCCAACAGCTGGTCGGCACGGCATTCCCGAACCTCTTGGGCGCGGCTCGGCGGGAGAGTATTATCAAAGTTCGTGCGCAGTGTACGGGACCAACGGCTGAAGGAAGAACTGCAGGTGTTCGACTTCATCAAGGAGGAGTCAAGCACGACCAAGGCGTGTGAGGAAGTGCTGTCCAAAGCGACAAGGCTCGAGTTGTGTTGGCGGGCAGCCGAGGACAGTATGACCAGACGGCCGAGCGCAAACATCCTGCAGACAGACGTGATAATGAATGAGCTAAGGGCCCAAGTCACGGAGCTGAGGGAACAAGCCACTGCACTGCGCACAGATGCCACTTGGACACCACAGACAGGGAGATGGCCAGGACCCGGCAATTGGAAATGCTGGTACTGCGGGTCACAGAACCACCGAGGCGGCTGGCGGGACTGCCCATCGAGGAAGCAGGAGGCACCAACCTGGAGGCCACGGGCACAGGCCGAGCAGCGTACAAGCCGGAAAGATTTTCGGTAAAGCCCCATCTGACCAGGCCGAAGGGCGGCGGTAGCAGAGGGCTGCAGACTGAGTCAAGGACCCAGTACATGCAGGGATCGCGACGGAGTCAGTTGGCGCGTGCCCAGATGGCAGGTCAGGAGGTGAGCATGCTCCTGGACACCGGCGAAGACGTCAGCTTGATCAGCAGGGCACACCTCAGCGAACACCAGAAGCAGCATACACAGTCAAAATCATAGTCAAACCCAAGAGCTGTGTCTGGCAACAAGGTCAAGATGGAGGGCGTGCAACGGATGACGGTTCGAGTGGGCAAGATCATCGTCGCCAGCCACCCCTTGCATGTAGTAACTGACCTGGTGGTACCCATGATTGGAGGTGCAGACTTCTCGAGCCAGCTGGGCAAGAAAACCTGGTCGAACAACACACTGATCATGCAGGGACACCACCTGAAACTGGAAGCAGTGTATCGCAACTCTCGTCCTCTGGACCGAGGACACCGGCCAACAGGAGTGTGTAGGGTCATGGTGCAGGACACTATCAAGGTCAAGCCAGGCGAGGAGGCTGTTGGCTGTTGCTATTGGTGACCGTGTGAGAATCAAGCTCCAACCTGGACAGCGCACGAACGCGCTTCACGCACACAAGTCCGACTTTTATGCAGTTGTGCACAGGATGAACAATACCTATCTTGCGAAGCCGTGCGGCCCCAATGCCTTGCTGCAGGCCACAGCGCCACTACCATGAGCTGGAGGCCACACACCCTCAGCGGTTGAGCTGGGAGCACGATAGCAGCACCTAGGAAACGGGGACGGAGGGGGGGGGGGGTGGAGCTTGACGTCCTTCCTTCAAGTGGAGCTGCCCCCGGCAGGAGACAACCCCGATTTGCAGGAGTGGAAGAGTTGGACGGGCAACCAAGTTTCTGAAAGTAAACCCCCGGTGGGTCCGGTATGAGCCAAGCTCGGCCAGTAGTGGTGCGGAAGCGGACGCGTCAGACGGTAAACGAGTACTGGGGAAGTCTGACTCTGACCTGTACGGCTCGGTGGCAAGCCAGGCAGATCACATGACCGCTGGATGGGACGCCGGCTGTCAGGATAACGCTTTTTTTGAGTCAGCATGGCTGTCCGCCTGCATTTGGAGTTGGTATCCATATTGTTGAGTTTGAGTGGGGAAGTGTGAGGGGTGTGCTTTACATACCTCTCATTTGACACTTTACACATATCACACGTCACACTGTACACACCGCTATCCCAGGCTATCACATGTAAGCGCCTACCCCCTACCGGTAGACCTCTAACTGCTGACATTATGCACAGCATATAGCACATAGCACCTATAAGCCGGAACTTGTATTTAGTGGGCTTCTGGTTGTTGGGGAAGCTCATAGTTATCCTGGACAATAATACCGTCACATTTCACACTGTGCACATAGGGCTTCCAGGCTCTCACACGTAAGCATATACCCCCTGCCGGTATACCTCTAACTGCTGACATGATGCACAGAACACAGCACCTGTATTGCTGAATTTGTATTTAGTGGGCATCTGGTTGTTGGGGAAGCTCATAGTTATCCTGGACAATAATACTGTCTCATTGGTGGCAGCGGTGGGATTCCAACCCACACCCCCGGAGAGACTGGAGCGGAGGATAAGGAGTTCCGGGCTCGCATGATTATGCAACAGCTCTGGGGGAACTGCTACCGCCGCTAAGCCAGGACAAGAACAAAGATGCCCTCAAGGATGATGAGGAGGTTATGAAGCTGCTGAAGACACGGTATGGCCACACTAGGGCCTGGGTGGCCTTTTGAAGAACCGTTCCAGGAAGGGAGAGAAACAACTCCAGCTTTCCTCAGGTGTCTCCAACAGCTGGTCGGCACGGCATTCCCGAACCTCTCGGGCGCGGCTCGGCGGGAGAGTATTATCAAAGTTCGTGCGCAGTGTACGGGACCAACGGCTGAAGGAAGAACTGCAGGTGTTCGACTTCATCAAGGAGGAGTCAAGCACGACCAAGGCGTGTGAGGAAGTGCTGTCCAAAGCGACAAGGCTCGAGTTGTGTTGGCGGGCAGCCGAGGACAGTATGACCAGACGGCCGAGCGCAAACATCCTGCAGACAGACGTGATAATGAATGAGCTAAGGGCCCAAGTCACGGAGCTGAGGGAACAAGTCGCTGCACTGCGCACAGATGCCACTTGGACACCACAGACAGGGAGATGGCCAGGACCCGGCAATTGGAAATGCTGGTACTGCGGGTCACAGAACCACCGAGGCGGCTGGCGGGACTGCCCATCGAGGAAGCAGGAGGCACCAACCTGGAGGCCACGGGCACAGGCCGAGCAGCGTACAAGCCGGAAAGATTTTCGGTAAAGCCCCATCTGACCAGGCCGAAGGGCGGCGGTAGCAGAGGGCAACAGCTGCAGACTGAGTCAAGGACCCAGTACATGCAGGGATTGCGACGGAGTCAGTTGGCGCGTGCCCAGATGGCAGGTCAGGAGGTGAGCATGCTCCTGGACACCGGCGAAGACGTCAGCTTGATCAGCAGGGCACACCTCAGCGAACACCAGAAGCAGCATACACAGTCAAAATCATAGTCAAACCCAAGAGCTGTGTCTGGCAACAAGGTCAAGATGGAGGGTGTGCAACGGATGACGGTTCGAGTGGGCAAGATCATCGTCGCCAGCCACCCCTTGCATGTAGTAACTGACCTGGTGGTACCCATGATTGGAGGTGCAGACTTCTCGAGCCAGCTGGGCAAGAAAACCTGGTCGAACAACACACTGATCATGCAGGGACACCACCTGAAACTGGAAGCAGTGTATCGCAACTCTCGTCCTCTGGACCGAGGACACCGGCCAACAGGAGTGTGTAGGGTCATGGTGCAGGACACTATCAAGGTCAAGCCAGGCGAGGAGGCTGTTGGCTGTTGCTATTGGTGACCGTGTGAGAATCAAGCTCCAACCTGGACAGCGCACGAACGCGCTTCACGCACACAAGTCCGACTTTTATGCAGTTGTGCACAGGATGAACAATACCTATCTTGCGAAGCCGTGCGGCCCCAATGCCTTGCTGCAGGCCACAGCGCCACTACCATGAGCTGGAGGCCACACACCCTCAGCGGTTGAGCTGGGAGCACGATAGCAGCACCTAGGAAACGGGGACGGAGGGGGGGGGGGGTGGAGCTTGACGTCCTTCCTTCAAGTGGAGCTGCCCCCGGCAGGAGACAACCCCGATTTGCAGGAGTGGAAGAGTTGGACGGGCAACCAAGTTTCTGAAAGTAAACCCCCGGTGGGTCCGGTATGAGCCAAGCTCGGCCAGTAGTGGTGCGGAAGCGGACGCGTCAGACGGTAAACGAGTACTGGGGAAGTCTGACTCTGACCTGTACGGCTCGGTGGCAAGCCAGGCAGATCACATGACCGCTGGATGGGACGCCGGCTGTCAGGATAACGCTTTTTTTGAGTCAGCATGGCTGTCCGCCTGCATTTGGAGTTGGTATCCATATTGTTGAGTTTGAGTGGGGAAGTGTGAGGGGTGTGCTTTACATACCTCTCATTTGACACTTTACACATATCACACGTCACACTGTACACACCGCTATCCCAGGCTATCACATGTAAGCGCCTACCCCCTACCGGTAGACCTCTAACTGCTGACATTATGCACAGCATATAGCACATAGCACCTATAAGCCGGAACTTGTATTTAGTGGGCTTCTGGTTGTTGGGGAAGCTCATAGTTATCCTGGACAATAATACCGTCTCGCCATGTGAACAGGAACCTAAACTCAGGTAAGAGATGGACAATGGCAAAGATCAACAATGTTTCATATGCAAGTGATGGGCACGCATACCAGAAGATGTAGCGGAATGAGGACCTTGACCCACAAACATGGCAACTGACGCCCGCTTGCGCACTAAGTTCGGCGATGGCGCTCTTGTGCTCTGAAGACAATCAAGGAGAACAGACACACCAAGAGTATACTAATCACGAAGTGTGCAGCACAGACCTCTGCTGATGCATGCATGCATCGACGGCATTCTAAAACTACCCATTAGGACCCATGCTCTCGTGTATGCCGGGAGCACTGTTGGGTGCTGGGGTACCATTCTCACAGTGCAAGTAAGTTGTAAGAAGCGGAGAACTTAGGGAAATCGATACGGGCCACGGCCGTGCACAGAAGCTCGGATGGAACGAGAACCGCAGGCGGGCATTGAAACATAGCAAGCACACAATGATCTGACAAGGCCGGAGTGGAGCATTTTTGTCAGGCATTATCAGTGACACTCCAGGGCCGGCGCCACTGGTACGGCCGGTACGGCTATGGCGGTACCAACTTCCCAAAAAGTCGGGCCACGTGGAACGTCCAAAATCGGGAAGAAAAAATTTCGATATATGATTTTGTACAGGGAGTCATCCAGAGTGCAGGATTTGCCGTCTAAATTCCAAAAAAATTGGGGGAGGACCCCCAGACCCCCCCCCCCTAAAGATGGCCCTTCAGCCGCTCCGCGGAAGCCGCCTCCGGCACTGCACTCTGCAGGTTCTAACTTGACCGCATAGGGAGAGAGTTGCAGCGATTTCAAACCCAATGCATGTACAATATCATAGTCCTAGCCACAGAGAGCGAGACTGAACGCAACAACACTGACAGAGATTAGGTGCGGTGAAACAGCACTCTTTCACCACAGCATCAACCTTATTACGCCTTCTCATGCCGTGAAATGATCTGACTCTGAAAAATGCAAGTTGGGCAGCGGAACCGTACCTTCAGCGAAGGCGCTCTTCGTAACTTTGTACCAAACCCCACGTTGGGTACAAGAGTTGGTGCGTTGGTGGCACCTAGTGAAGCTCGGTGTATTCTCTTTGCGGTAGTCTTGTTGAGAGCTGGCTGCGGTACTCGGCTGCTTGTAGCTGTAGATACACTGCTGCTGCTGCTGCTTGTGAGACCTGCTGATTCAACATCCTCCAACGGCGGCTGTGGAGCAGCCATGGCAGTCGACACCCTGCCGACAGGACCTCCACGCCTGTGTGCCACAGAATAGATTGATTGTACACACACGTGTGCATGTTACACAAACACACACACACACACACACATACAAACACACACAAACACACACACATTGCAACAAATGGCCAAAATGAAAAAAAAACATGGCAGCAATCACCACTCCAGTGATAAAATGCGGGACTCCTCGTAGCACACAGACCCGTTCGGAATGGTCCAGTGACCGCAAGATACAGTCAAACCTCTTTAGGACGAATTTCAAGGGACTGAACAAGTTTGTTTGTCTTATCTGAAGTTCTTCTTATCCAGATCTGACAAAAATATTGATATGCATATCATCCGGATTGTATTCATATGAAGGTGCATGCTGTGGCACATGTGAAGCAGGGAGTACATGTAGTACTACCGCGACTCCCTGATATGAAGCATTCACCTAGCAACAATGCATTTCATAGCATAAGCCAGCAACAGGTAAGAACGTGCAATGAATTCATGACAGCATGGCCTCCGCCTTGTACAGTAACATGCTGCCGTTTTGCCCGCACAAGAGGCCTCAACTACTCAGTATCGAAGGAAAAAAAACTACAGCCAGGAAAAAAACTACAGCCAGGAAAAAAACTACAGCCAGTGCACACAGATGGACCGAAAGTTTGTACTACGCCCTGATTTTGTTCAAATCACGCTTGAAAGTGGTTCGTCTTCATCAAAGTTCGCCGTACAGGAGTTCGTCGTGAACAAATCATTTTGACTTGATTTGATGCCTGGCCAACCAGGATTGGCCTTAGTTCATTCCATTATACTAATGGAAAAGTTCGCCTTATCAGTGTTTGTCCTAAAGAGGTTTGACTGTACTCCAAAATCCAATGTTTCGTAGTTTGCACCTGTAATAGGGTAGCCATGTATACCCATAGGCATGTGTATGTTTGGCAAAGGGATACACTCCCCATTCCGGACCATCACAACAAGTTCTTCAAGTTGGCACGTGGTAGTCGCCCCGGGACAGCACCGCTCGATCATTGCAAACCAGCTTTCGTCAGTTCTGGACCTCCGGAAATCCTGCTCATGTTTCTCAACCGCCATCTGCGGCCTACAACATCCCGGTCCTTCGCGCGAGCCACTCCGACTGCTCTTGGTAACCGTGATCTGCAATCATGGCACGCCCTCAGTCAGCATCCAGTCCACACCTACTGAACTGCAGTAGCGCAAGACACTTGCATGTGCCACACAGTGCACTCTCAGCATGCTCTACGTGTCGTTGTTAGTCGGCACAGTATTGCTATTTCTGGCTACCATGATTACGTCGCTCCTATTTATACAAGAATACAAATGTGTGTATGTTTATGGGACCGTCATATTCATGTATGTGACCCACGTGACTAGTTTTGGCAGTGAGCAACAAGCAACAAGTACTGAGTCGTACCCCACCGACTCCTGGTGTGCACAGTGCAGTGTGAAAACGGTCTAACATACACTGTACCAGCAACACTAGGATTTTCAAATAAGCAGGGTGCATGGCCCGGTCCGGTATACCACGATACGCTAATAATTATCATGGCAGCCTCAAGCTACCTTCACTCTGTCCCGGCCGGAAATCCAGCAATTACACAACAATCTAGCGGAAATAATTACCTTTTTTCGCTACCAGCATCTAGTAGGCTGTTACGATGCAGCGAGCTCAGATGGTCAAAGCTGCCACGGCGAACCATTCTGTTGGACGACTGCCAAGGCCGTTCACGGCTTACAGCTGGAGCCGGCATTGGTTGGAGTTGTACCTCCGGCTGTTGCGCTAGCGGGGGAGCTGGTGACGTTGAACTGAGGCTCGTGGCTCTGGAAGATTGCTCACCTCCGCTGGTACTGGTTCTGTCTTGCCCATTTTTACTGGCCAGCTCTTGATGTTGCTGGGGATCTTGCTGTGGCGAGGACATCATGAAGGCGCGCTACACTCACACTGTCAATCAAATAATTCAAATTCGGACTGGAAGATCCCAAGTACTAGAGTTAGCCTATGGAGCGGGTGCTCCGCAGCTCGCTAATCTCGTTTCTCTGTTATGGTATTGCTTCTACTGCTAGTTATTTTAGTAGTGGAATAAAGCACACAAAGTCACAATCACCTAAACACAAACTGGCACCATGATCATTGAACTACTTGAACTGAGTTGAAGTGAAGAAGACACCACAACTAACTGGTCATGTTACTACTGACTGTAGTGTAGTCTGTAGTCTAGATCTACAGAGTACAGTGTAGATCTCCTGCACCGCGTACACTGGTACATGGCATAATCATTCAGCCTTTTTCAGGATATCGAATTATGGCACGAAGAGAGAAAAAAATAGTCATTTTTGTGTAAAAGTGGCGGGAGGCTGCCCGACCGTGACTGCGGCGTTGCTAGGCGCACCTGTCGTCACTGTTTGATGAGGCGAAGGACTAAAGGGACCGTCACTTAATTTTTGCCGACTACCCGCCAAAAAAATCTTTTCGTTTCACGTGCCAGACACGTCCGCTAGCGCGTACGACTCGCGCTCGCCCGCCCTATAGCCAGTATAGGCTAGCGCTACCTTTCACGTCAAGCAATCTGTTCACGCCACATGGCTGGATTGGATAGCGCGTACATGCAGACATGATTGAAGACTTGCAAAATCAATTTTTTTACAAGTCCAGGCGCTAGGCGCTAGGCCTAGGCAGTACTAATGCCCAAAGGCTAAAATGCCCAGGCAGCTGACTTTATTTTCGGAGAAACACTACTCATTGTAGTAAAAAGTAACAATGAATAGCGACATCATCTAGGAAGGATCGCTACCTTAACGCAAAGGAAAGGCCTTGCGCGGCTGCTCTACGAAGTGTTGAAGAAAGACTCATCAAAGTTAGTTGGTGGACGAACAACTCGCTGGCGCCGGAAAACTTGGCCCCCAACGATGGTGTTTGGTGAATCATCAAGCATAATGTCTTGTACTTAAGTTGTAGCAGTGTTCACCGAGGAAGGAGAACGCTCTAGCCGCTGCTGTTGTCCATTTCATCCACGTTGGGCGTTAGCTGCACCGCGCCTATTGTGTTTTAGTATTCCATGGACACACATTAGCATTCAGAGCGATTGTGGAGCCACAATTTACTTCACACAGCGTTGTATTGTCCACGAGCGCAAACTTCATTATCAGCAGTAACTGTTACTCTTCATCCTACATGTACTAGTAGATTTGGAGTATACACGGCCTTGTCATGACAGTGACAGCTCTACAGAGTGTTCAAGTGAGAAACATTAATTTCAATTGTTGGTGGACGAATAAATGGCTGGTTCCGAAAAACGCGGCCTGCACCGATGGTGTTTGGTGGATCATCAAACAGGGTGACCAGCAGTGTTCACCGAGGAAGGAGAATGCACTCGCCACCACTCCGATTCATCCAAGTGGGCGTTAGCTGCGCCGCGCCTATTGTGTTTTAGTATTTCATGGACGCACACTAGCGTTCTCAGCGATTGTGGAGCCACAACATATCTTCATGCGGCGTTGCACTGTCCAAGAGCAGAAACGTCAGCAGTGACCCATCATCATACATGTAGATTTGGAGTATACACACCATGCGCCAATGGGCCTTGGCACAACAGCGGCAGCTCTACGGAGTGTTCAAGTGAGAAACATTTGTTTCGACTTTTGGTGGACGAACAAATCGGTGGTGCCGAAAAACGTGGCCTGCGCCGATGGTGTTTGAACCATCGAGGGCTCCGGAAGCAGCAGCTGAGCCAGATCAGCCAGTCTTGCCAACTCTCAGTTGCCGGACTCCGTGCTGCAGCTAGCAGCACTGGCACCAGCCGGAAATATTTTTCCGCCGATACCCGTTACTTCCAGTTCTGTCAAGGGCATGACTGGAATCCATTGCCAGGTGATGACTTTTTACTTTATGTGTTATTTTGCTGCCGAGTTGTTCAGAACTTTTCAGCCCCGATCTGTCCATGTCTACATGTCGGCCATCCGCAAACTTCAGGTGGAAGTTGGCTTTACCTACCCGTCGGGCCCAATGACTCTCCTCGCAAGGTTCCTGTCGGGCATCAACAGGTCATCATCGACACAGCGTCATCGCCTGCTGATAACCACTCAACTTCTCAGGGAGATTAGCCGGCATGTTGCCTTTCCACGGATGTGGCACCCGCGGCTCATGACAAGGCCATGCTAAGGGCAAACTGACTGCTTGATTTTAGCTTTACATAACCGCAGTCAGTCCAGCACAATACGCCAATCGTATTTCACTATAACTCGCGTGTCATAATTGGGGATATGGGCTGCTCGGCCCTATATCCCTGATATGCCAAATAGACGAAAAGTGTGTTCTGAGCCTGTATCGCGTATAATAGGTTCATCGTAAAACAAATAATAAAAGTCTTAAAAATCAGGGTTCACGTGACACTCGGGTTCCAGCCAAGTTTTCCGCATCCGCAGGAACGCTACCCCCCCCCCCCCCTCTTGAATCATAGTATAGTGGACTCTGCAATGAACAGATTATGAAACTCCCTGCAGATTTACTACGGTCATCTCTGGTGACTGGTCTTGGGGCACCGTGGAAGCTGTGACTGGTTGCCAAGTTTAGTTTTGTGACTGATCATGGGGCATTTGTGACTACTTCGAAGCACAGCTCTGATTGATCACAGAGTCTTACTGTTGTGAATATTTATATCGATTGAGAAGTCAAGCAGCCACGGGGCGCTGGCCTTGCAGCTGTGAGTATGCATACGGTACATATTCACATGACTATTGTATGCTGGACACTGCTGGTCCATTGTTGCAGTGTGTAAGTGAACTGCAGAACCTATTCCGTGATGAAACACCTACTCTTGAAAGACTGAATGTTTGAGCTAATAGTCTTTTACTTCACTCTCATGCTGCTCATATAATTATACCATACGCCAGAAGACCCTAAGTAAAGTTAGTTCTAAGATTTTGTGGACCATGTGACCATGTGGTACTTTCACTCTACAGTTAAGTCAACCTCTTCGTCAACACACAGGGTTTTCCTCAGACACAAGCGAATGGTTTACTCCACTCTGGAGAAGAACACAGTTTGCTCTCTCGAACACCAACCGCAGATGACTACGGAATGTAGGAAGTGCAACAACTGCTAGAATATTGAACTGTCGTCCACACAAAACAAATAAAGACAACTGAAAACCAAAACACATGCAACTGCCAACATGCATGTAACAGCAAATGCAAGCCAGAACTACAGACTCCGCGCAGGGAGGAACAGGGGAAACAGAGGTAACGCTTCTGACTCCGAGAGCTTCGAATAGCAGTGGACAAAACAATACATCAACCTTACGTGTCACCTTGCGCTACCGCAAACGAACACCTATGGATGCACAGTGCAGCACAGACTCAGTGCATGCACGGTGTAATAACTGGAGTACATGTAAACCGACAACGGTCACCTTGCACCCTATGCAGTAAAATACATAGGCTTGACGTGAAAGGTAACGCGGGCGAGCGCGAGTCGTACGCGCTCGCGGACGTGCCTGACACGTGAAACAAAAAGATTTTTTTGGCGGGTAGTCGGCAAAAATTAAGTGACGGTCCCTTTAGTCCTTCGCGTTCGGCGAAGAACTAAAGGGACCGATTCAGGGCAGATCGTGACATGATGGTGACTCTGATTGGTGACCCATGCGAGAACAGACATTACACTTGCGGGTGGCCTTGCACTGAGTTGACCGGTGCCCTGTGCGCAAACACACAAAGCAACGCTTCTGTTCAATCAGTTATTCTTTCCGCTGTGCTACTGTTGTGTATTTCGCGCAGTCACCACACACCATGCTTGATGTTTCAAGCACCATCGGCGCAGGCCACGTTTTTCGGCACCGACGATTTGTTCGTCCACCAAAAGTCGAAACAAATGTTTCTCACTTGAACACTCCGTAGAGCTGCCGCTGTTGTGCCAAGGCCCATTGGCGCATGGTGTGTATACTCCAAATCTACATGTATGATGATGGGTCACTGCTGACGTTTCTGCTCTTGGACAGTGCAACGCCGCATGAAGATATGTTGTGGCTCCACAATCGCTGAGAACGCTAGTGTGCGTCCATGAAATACTAAAACACAATAGGCGCGGCGCAGCTAACGCCCACTTGGATGAATCGGAGTGGTGGCGAGTGCATTCTCCTTCCTCGGTGAACACTGTTGGTCACCCTGTTTGATGATCCACCAAACACCATCGGTGCAGGCCGCGTTTTTCGGAACCAGCCATTTATTCGTCCACCAACAATTGAAATTAATGTTTCTCACTTGAACACTCTGTAGAGCTGTCGCTGTCATGACAAGGCCGTGTATACTCCAAATCTACATGTAGGATGAAGAGTAACAGTTACTGCTGATAATGAAGTTTGCGCTCGTGGACAATACAACGCTGTGTGAAGTAAATTGTGGCTCCACAATCGCTCTGAATGCTAATGTGTGTCCATGGAATACTAAAACACAATAGGCGCGGTGCAGCTAACGCCCAACGTGGATGAAACGGACAACAGCAGCGGCTAGAGCGTTCTCCTTCCTCGGTAAACACTGTACAAGACATTATGCTTGATGATTCACCAAACACCATCGTTGGGGGCCAAGTTTTCCGGCGCCAGCGAGTTGTTCGTCCACCAACTAACTTTGATGAGTCTTTCTTCAACACTTCGTAGAGCAGCCGCGCAAGGCCTTTCCTTTGCGTTAGGGTATCGATCCTTCCTAGATGATGTCGCTATTCATTGTTACTTTTTACTACAATGAGTAGTGTTTCTCCGAAAATAAAGTCAGCTGCCTGGGCATTAGTAGTACTGCCTAGGCCTAGCGCCTAGCGCCTGGACTTGTAAAAAAATTGATTTTGCAAGTCTTCAATCATGTCTGCATGTACGCGCTATCCAATCCAGCCATGTGGCGTGAACAGATTGCTTGACGTGAAAGGTAGCGCGGGCGAGCGCGAGTCGTACGCGCTCGCGGACGTGTCTGGCACGTGAAACGAAAAGATTTTTTTGGCGGTACCGGGTAGTCGGCAAAAATTAAGTGACGGTCCCTTTAGTCCTTCGCGTTTGATGAGTCCTCTCAACCGCATCCGTCAATGACCGTCATCATGGTCATTCCAGCCTACGGCCCCAGGTACGTTCCCGCCGCGCCGGCTCCTAGAAAAAGGACCTAGATCCTATGCCCAGTCAGCCCGACTCACTGACACATGACATGGTACCCAGCCCAGGCCAGGTAGATCTACATGTACCATGATCTACTGAGTAGATCTACTGAGTCTGTCTGTCGTGGACATGGAAATCCGGTCGCTCGTCTAGCGGCCCCAGGGCGCTGGCCATGCAGCCGTTGGTAAGCAGTACACGCATATGTTGGCTGGGTGGGATATCATTATGGTGGGTTCATCCGGCTGGAGAATCAGATCAGTCATGGAGGTCTCAGCGAGTAGTGCAGTGCAATGCCATTATAGAAGTTTCCCTGAACGCCGATTAGGCCAAGTCAGGGTCTGGGGGTCGCATAAAGGTTTATATGGCTCCCTCAGTCCCTGGGCCAAGTCAAGGGCCTGGGGACATGATATGGGTGGCCTGGCGTCTGAACTGGATATCGAACAGTCAGACCAAGGGAGCTGCACAGCATGAGAAAATAGGTACCGTATTTTACCGGTTGTAAGTCGACCCCGGTTATAGGTCGACCCCCATATCCGGAGGTCTCAATTCTGCGTTTTAAAGTTTTCATCCAACGAAGCACTACTAACCACTCCCTGCTACTAACACATCAACAAGTCATGTAAACATTCCTTATTGGAGAGTAAAACTTCCGAATCCTTGAAAAAAGCCAATAAACTGGCAAAAATGTGTACACATGGTGCTCTCGTGCATGCAGTCCACGTCATTTTTTGTAAGATACTGATAGTTCCCGGTTATAAGTCGAACTCCGGTTGTAAGTCGACCCCCACCCTTTCTCCTTCTATTTTAAGTCGTGAAAGGTCGACTTACAACCGGAATAATACGGTATGTATCCGGCAGGAGTTACTGCCCGCATTGTCCTGTGCACTGTACAGGCGTGGGAAACGTAATCGTGTTCTGTACAAAGAATATGCCTACAGTAGATTAATGCAGGCGCTGGCGGGCACCTCTAAATCTTTCCGATCAAGCCCAACGTGCCATTTTATTTAAAAATTGAAAAAGATCAACCGATACATAATCACGCATGAACATCGGGGAAGGTAGACTTGCATCCAAAGTTTGGATTGACCTTAGTACTGAGGTGGAAAGCCGCAAAATTATGGAAAGCCGCTCGTGCCTTGATCCGTCACACGATCTAGCAAAGCATTGTTCCGTATAAATTACATGTATTATTTGCAAACTTTGAATTCGAAAGCTATGTACAAGCTATGTACATTTTCCAGTGGGAGTTTACCAGGATTAGCAGTCTACGTTTAGATCCAATTTAATTGTCTCAACTTCAACAAGGACTTGGGTTAAAAAGAAATGAAAGATAACGTTATAATGGGGGGGGGGGGGGGGTAGAACTCAAGAAAGGGAGTATGCATCAATTTACTCTTGTCAACGGCGGTACCTTCAAACGAGAGACTGTTGTCTCAGCATGCATGTAAGCGTTGGAGCAAATCCAACTGGTCTTTGCTCGTGGCCAAGTTTCCTATTCCGTAGACGCGCCTCCCCAGCAGTGGCATTGGCACCATACTGGGTACATCAGGCAGCTCCATGTCATCATCTTCTGTCACCATTACTATCGGAATCACTTTTGAGCTCTCATTTGCCGGTTTGCCCATGCACACGCGGAGGAGATTGATTTCCCACGAGGTCAGTCTTGTCGGTGGTTGTAGCACGGACCAGCCTGTCGAGTGCTCAGCACAGTCTGTGGCCCAAACATCGGCATATGACTCACTGCAAACGGCCAGCACGTAGCGACTGGATGTGATGCCTCTCTCGACAAAGAACTGCGGACTGCAAGCCACCTCGTTTGTGTAGTAGAAGTCTGCCACGACGGCTATGCCATTCTCGTGTAGCCAATCGGAGAGCTGTGTCACTCTCAGTCGATGTTGCGGGCTGGATCTTGAGTAAGAGATGTAAACATGTGAACGATGGCTGGCAATGGGAGGAGGTGTGATAGGTGGTGGCAGTGGGCCGCCATGGCCGCAGCTGGGTGGCGGATACCCAAAGTCAGGACTGAGGTGCTCTTCATCGGCGCTTGTTGATAGCTCTGCAGATATCCAAGGCAAAGTGTGCACAGGGCACTTGATTATTACGGTTCTTGCACAGATTCAAAAATAAAATTTAGCATTTTGACCATTTACTTAACCTTTTGAGCCCACACCCATTGAAAACCTCTGCCACTTCACTCTATGCGAGCAAACTTGATATCAAAATATCAAACGATTCTTTCATGTATCCTGAGCACAGAATTGTTTTTGTTTTTGGAAATACAACAAAGATTACAAAAATTATGACCGTTTTCAGAAAGGTAGTTTTACGCGAAATCGGTATTTTGAAATGTATGCACGCGCATGTAACTCCACAAACTTAAGCGGGATTCAGAGAAGCTTTTTTGCGATGCGACACGCGATGCGACAGCCGCGAAACCGGGAAATCCCCAAATCGCGACCATCGCGGACCCCACGCAACTGCCGCAACAGGGCCATCGCGAAAGTTGAGCTTGGCTCAACTTTTGCGATGCGACAAGCGATTTGGCGTACTATGTTGGCCTTTTCTACAGCAAAGTTGTACAAAGGTTCAAGAGTTATATATTTGAACAAGGTGTACCAAACCGCGCGAATACCATGGTGATGTACCCAAATCAGCAAGACTTTGTCGCATCGCTGACTTCTTCTGTGAATGGTATTTCGCGAGTTCGCATCGCACGCGTCCATCGCAGATCGCGTTGCATTGCGTGTCGCATCGCAAAAAAGCTTCTGTGAATCCCGCTTTACGGAGCGACTCGCATTTTTTTACGGTACACGTACATCCTAGGAGTCCTCTGTGCAGCGGTACAGCTCGACGCCACGCCACGGAAGAAACGCGGGATCGATGTAGTTCCGCACTGACTCGTGACGTTCTAGAACGTCACGCGTGTCACAGTGGCAGTGGTCATGACGTGTCAGAACGTCACGCGTGCTCAAAAGGTTAGAATATTCAATCTGCGGACAGAACTGTTTCGTCCTTGTGGACTCATCAGCGCAGCACAGAGAAAATGAGGCCGAACCTGATAGCAATGAAAAATAAATTTTCTAAAGCCAGATTTTAAACCAGGCCCGAACGTACCTTGCCAGGAATACTTTTAAAAATATTCATTTGGTTGAGGGAGTTGCAAACAGGAGTTTACTTTCGTGAGTAGTTTCGTGACTAATACACTTCTCAGTTACCACTTACCAGCCAGCTAGAAAGGGAAGCATGTCATGTCAATGGAAGCATGATGTCATGTCAAGGGAAGCATGATGTAATGGCAAGGGAAGCATGATGTCATGTCAAGGGAAGTATGATGTCACGTCAAGGGAATCATGATGCTTCTGCCAGTGTACTTCTATGCTGCCTTTTCTGCCTTCGTACCAATTCTGAGGCACATAGCCGCACCTGCACAAGGTCTCAAGATCCTTGGACTTGTACTGCCAGGAGCCTCCTCTCGATTTGGTTATTCCTCTCTTTCCTTTTTAGCCTCCGACCGCTGGAACTCAGTTCCGACATTGGTCCACTTTGCTGCTTCACCAAGTCAATTTCATATCGCAATCCTAGACTGGCTAGGGTACCCCGTAATCCTAGACTGGCTAGTGTACCCCGTAATCCTAGCTGACTGGCTAGGGTACTACCCCGTAAGGAGACCATAGCCTAGGTCTGTGGGGACTGCCCTACAGAAATATGAATAAATAATAATAATGATGTCATGTCAAGGGAAGCATGATGTAATGTAAGTTACTTCGTGTGCCACACAGCCTCTAAAGATGTAATTACTGGGTGCACAGTAAGTTAGCAGCAGATCTTTACCTTTCAGCACGGGGCTCTTCAGGTACTTGATGTTCTTGCGCATAACACGACTAATGGCCAGGACAACCACGCACGTGAGCAGACACGCCAGAGCAACTGCAAGGATCAGGACAATGTCTTCCCGCACATCACTCTCCCTGATCAGCTCACGTGTAGTTGGGATGGTATCAGCTATTGGTGTGCCCGTACTGCTGCTGCTGCTGTTGGTGGCGCTGGTACTGGAGTAACTGCTATCGCTGCCGTTGACTCCTTCTTCCTTCACTGGACCAGTGGTAGTCATAGGAGTATCAACTGAAGAGATGCGTTGAGTTGTCAACTCTGTACGGGGAGTCCAGGAATCGCTCATGTTGTAGTCGAGATCAACAACTTGACAACGGTCCAAGGCAAACTTCGAAGCACTCAAGGCGCAGTTTTCCACCATGCTCTGATCACTGGGAGACACTACAGTGACAATCCAACATGAACATGCACACAACACATGCATGCACACACCATGCATGCACACACTATGCACATACACACACAGGCACACCCACCCACCCACACACCCATACCCACACACGCACACACACAGACCCACAAACACAAGCACAACTTGACACACATGGAAAGTGACTATTGTATATCCACTAAACACTGACTACTGAGCACAAGAATCCTCTCTCCAGCCTGATACGAAGCGTGGCAGGCAGTTTGAAGTTCTCTTCGCAACAAGTATTGATAATCGGGGAATAATAGCATCTAGGGAGACATCGTTAACACCATGCTGGTGAACACAACTTACACTCATATACTCCAGCTTCGTGATCAACCTTCTCAACGCCAATGGGGAGACTCCTCAACTGGATAAGGGCAAGAACACATGATGAAAGGCAAGGGTAACCGGCAGCACTGCCATTAATGCCAGTACCACATTGCAAAGCTGCCCACAGCCATCACATAATACCATTTAGAAAAGATGATGAAAACCAGGACATTTTTTTGTCTAACAAAGTTTGGCTTCCAGCACACGAGTACACCGTGTGTCATTCAGTGCCTTAGGCCAATATAGCACTGGAGATCACGTTGACCGTACACCGGCAACAGTCTAACATGTGATTGTCCGTGTGGACACAGCTCCGCTGCCATGATGGCCCATCCACAACCACATGGATACAGTGATGGGCTTACACTGTGTGACTCTCACACAATACACGGGATTTGAAACAGTACGCATAATATGTTTCAAAAGGACCAGTTCATCATTGAATACATTTACAAGGAGAGAAAAAAAACTCTATTAGCATCCACTTCTAATACGGCATGCGTTCATGGTCAGTTGTGCAGTCCCTTGTTGTGCATACCGCGATGCTTCGTAGACTTGCCAGCACTCCGGGAAACCACCGTTCTTTGATGCAGGGCTTCATTTCCGAATAGTCGTACAGTAAAAACCAGGTCCGGTAGCGCTGATAAAACGCCAGAAACATACCACAAAACAAGCAAAGACAAAATCACTACACGCTTGCTGCTGAGTGCAGGCGCAAACGCGAGGATGTGAATGCGCTTTTAAGTGTTTAACGGGAGAGCTTGAAAGCTCAGGGCCCTCACTACGCTTTTTTGCCTAGGTCATCATGCATATTATTCGAACTGATGGAAACGTTTTTGCAATACAATCATCGGCTACATCATTGTATTGCAAAAACGTTTCCATCAGTTCAAATAACATGCATGGTGACCTAGGCAAAAAGCATAACGAGGTTATAATTTTTTCATGTCTTCTATTTTTTCAAGATAATTATAACATGGGATTCGAACCCGCACTATTGCCCTGCATGCATTCCCCCGATACACTTTGCATACATAAACATTCTTCCAAGTTGCTTCACGCTATGATTTTGCAGTAGAAAGCTCTATTTGAATAAGGTGGCCAGCTGTCTTTGATGGTGCGGTACGGGACATGTACGGGATAGCGCCAGGCATGCCGACGCCACTGGGTCGATGCAGATAGAGACTAAAAATTACCGAAATAAAGCGGTGTGGACCCTGGCTAGCGCCAGACGTTACTGAAGTACTGAAGTAACGTCTTTTGAATAGCTACGGGAATAAAATCAAATATCAACAACCCTGGGGGCCCCTAAAAAAATGCAGCGTTAAATATAAACTTTGAGTAGGAGATTTTCATCACATTCCATTAAAAGCACTGTGGCATGCATGTTGAAATTCTTACCTGATCCATAGTAGCTGCTGGCAGAACAAAGCTACAGTGCTTGCCACCAGAATCAAAAAGGCTGACCTTGAACCCGGTCACATATAAATAGGAGTCTAAGAGGAATAAAAGAGCGTGAGGAGAATGCAATGGTAATCAAACATTCAACTACTGGCATGGTGAGCTCTGTTCCACACAAACACACAGTCATTTCAACACTGCTTGGTGAATGAACCAATTGTGTGGTTTCTCTTCCCCTCTACTCCTCAGCTGACCAGTGGATTATTCGATCGTAGTTGTTGACACCTGGTGCTAATGGTGTTCACAACATCACCCCCAGTTCCTGAACAATGCCTTTTTGTATTGAGAGAGGTTCAGGGTTAATCATGCAGGGCCGTAGCACCAAGATTTCAGATTGTCCGGCAAAACGAGATACTAGACCGGAAGTGAGCATTACAGATGAAAAAACGTTTTTCACACATTGGGTGGGTCAACTTTTCCCAAAACTGGGCACAAACCAGTGCAATGTACATTACTCCGACAAAGCAAAGATTACCATCAGTAATAGCCCAGCTGACATTGAGCGCTACACCATCGCGGGTGTTGGTACACTGCAGACGGATGCTGCTGCTGATTGGATGCTCAGGGAGGCGGTCACACTCATCTAGCACTCTGAAGTCGTACTCCGGATACTCACAGTCTGCATAATGCAATGCACACGAATGCATGAGCAGGCAGTGCAAAGTGCATATGCACATACGTACGGATGGATGCACACAGACATATGCACATGCACACACACACACACACACACACACACACACACACACACACACACACACACACACACACACACACACACACACAGACTAACAACTAAAACCAAGGAATGCATGGCTTTAGAGGGAAACGTGCATACGAATACAATTGGCCAACAAATTCCCTGCCTAGGAAGTGTACAGCATTAGTCTATTTAGAGCATTGCATCACTAGGATAGCTAGGAGAGCCTTACCCTGGGTGAAGAAGACATTCGGTGGAGTTGGCTGGCAAACCGTGTTGTCTGCAGCACCAAAACACACCGGGACAAGAATCACGACAATACACATAAGAGAGGATAGCCACTGGTGCAAACAAAACCACTTTAAGATATTGGTTTGCTATGCTAAGGTTCATGCCATAGGAAGCACACTCCTAGTGGTTTCGCTGCTCTGTGTGTGTGTGTGTGTGTGTGTGTGTGTGTGTGTGTGCGCGCGCGCGCGTGCGTGTGTATGTATGTATGTATGTATGTTTAAAAGGCTGTCTGCGTCCAGTACATTGGGCAGTGTTCTGGTAGCTGTGCACGAGGGCTACTAGTATTCCGTACTTCCAAGGCCATGACTCAGACCTGTGTTGTCAGTTCATCCATCCATAAGTAGTAACTAGGTATTGGAACATGAACAGTACAGAGTTAGAGCATAGCTACTTCGAAGTACATGTATTACTAACACTCACACATTGCCATTGGGTATAGCTATTGCTGTTACTCACGCTTTGTCATTTCGTTGTCAGACGCGCATCTCCGAGAGTCCCTGCTGCAGTTTCGCGGAGCCTGTTGTGAGAGACATACACCAAAGGCATTGTGTCTCAAACACGATTACATCTTTACTTATAAAGAAGAGGCACCTGTGACGTGTGTCTGTGTGTCACGCTCCTTATAAAGAAGAGGTACCTGTGACGTGTGTTTTTGTGTCACGCTGAAGCGCTGCGGAGCAGCGCTGCCCTGAGCACGCGAAGCGTGCGAACAGTGTAGCACAGTGTAGCTAGCGGCCGCAGAACCACTGAGCACGCGAATCGTGCGAATCGTGTAGCTAGCGGAAGCAGCCACAGAAGCACTGAGCACGCGAAGCGTGCGAATCGTGTAGCCACCACCACGTGCTGAGCACGCGAAGCGTGCGAACAGTGTAGGTGGTAGCAGACACGATCAGTACGAGTAGCAGTAGCAGCCGCGCGCAGAAGCACTGAGCACGCGAAGCGTGCGAATCATGTAGCCACCTAGCCTAGGCCATAGGTAGCACTAGCAGCCGCACAAGCGCTGCGGACCACGTGAACCGTTCTCTGCAAATAGAAACATCTGCAACAAAAGGATACAAAAGATCTGCACTGACTGCACTCTGCATCTGATCTGCAGTGAAGAGCGCATCGCACTTTTGTTCGTAAGTTTATGAATTATTTGAGCCGCTTCATCCGCCACCAGGTGATGGACAACCCTGACCAGCCTCCCAAAGGCGTAACAGACGTCCCTCCTTCTCCTTCCAACCATGAAGAACCTTCCTCACCAGGACTTCAGCGGTCTGGCCACCACCACGTGCTGAGCAAGTGTGCTGTTCATGTACTTGCTTCACCCGCATGCCACATTCGGCCAGGCAACGCTGGCCTGGGGTGCTGCTAGTTGCATTATAACCTGGTAATTAATTATTTGGGCCCTCTGTGCCGCTTGGTTGGACTGTTGCCCGCAGTTTTCAGACAAGGCAAGTTATAATTACTAGGTTTGTCAAGGTTAAGGACATAACACCACGCGACGTGCTAGTGGTGGTGTTGGTGAGAGGTTGGTTCTGAGAGAAGCTACGGACAGTCGGTGTGGAAGTGGCGATGGGTTGATTCCGAGAGAGGCTGCGGGCTGGTGCGAATGTGTTAGGTGGCAACAATTACCATGATTATGGACAGCCCTTGTACGCTTAGTTGGATACAGACCTGGAAGCTGTCAGCTACCGAAATCATAATGCTGAGGTGTGATACGAAACTGTCAGCAATACACGCCAAGTCGCAGGTCCATGTACAGTGAGTCTTAAACAAACACAGACGCCTTGAGGTGAATAAAATTAATAAGATAAAGCCAATGTGCCACCCTTCGTGGAGTAGTTATCTGCCGCCGGCATGTACGCGCCGGTTTTCAGTGCAACGTGACACGCGACTTGGTATTTCCCAGGCACTGCTGGTACCAGGCTACTACCTCCTACCTGCAGCCCTGCAGACCCGGATCATGAAACTAACTTGTACTTTTTAGCTCGCTTTCCATTAATTTTTACTCTTGTTGCCCAACAATGGTGAGGAGAGGGGGGGGGGGGCACTCTTCAGACAGCAGTGATACAATACAATACTGATAAATCGACACAAACGCTATTCAGTATTGTATTGGAAAGGGTAGCCTAGCTCCTGAGTGACAGATCGTCACGACGTCCGGATGTTGACCCGGTAACTACATGACTGTCGCACAGTAAGGTAGGTGTACTGCTACTGCAAGTAACTACAGTCACGGTATTACTAGTATTAGTAGTCAGACCTTCAAGCTTCACTACACTACACTACACTACAGAATACAGACAACACCCAGAACCAGGCGATGGAAATACTCTACCTACAGGTTCTGCGGCGTCTGCGCCCAAACAATAATTCATCATCACTGACATCAGCAGCAGCGGTAGTAGGAAGGCCACCGTTGCAGCCGGTAAACTGCTGAGGAGTCCGAGCGGGCGGTGCCGGTGTGACCACTTGCTGGCGGCCCGTCGCGGTCGAGGTGAATCATCCATGGCGTTACTGCCGTGTAACATTCCTAGATCCTATCCAGGCGAATAGTTACCAGTAGTATTCCGGACACCCAATCCCTTCTCAAAAGTCAAAGATGCATCTGGCCGGAACTATCGACAGTGCCAGTGCGCAAACAGCAAAGTCTACACTGGGATATTTTTTAGGATTGAGTGTAAAAATTAGCAGGAGCTGGAGCGCGCTAGCAGTAGTACATGGTACACAGTCGAGTCGTCGCCAAAAAAATCCGGCCAATGCCAAGTACATGTATACGCGTACATAGGTATGGTAGGTAGATCTACGCGGTACTTCATCGCGGGTTCATGAGTGGCACATGCACTAAACAGTACGACTCGTAGTCTAGGCCACTGCCACTGCACTGCCACTATACTACTACTAGTACTAGTAGTAGTATACTGGCAATACTAGCTGGATCGACAGCATGCACTGAACAGTCTGCGCCGCACTCTGCCTGCTGCGGTAGTATGGTTGAGCAGCGATGAGCACTGCGCTGAGCCTGAGTCTGACTCTGACTCTGAGTGAGTGTAGAAGGCGACGGTTTCAAAATAGGACATACCAGTAGGTTGCAAACCGGAACGGACTCAACACTTTCTCTCTTGCCGTTGGAGTCTTGGTATTTTGATTAGAAAACATAATGTCACAGTGAGACTACGATGTGTTATAACTTATACTCCGAGCCAAAATTTCATGGTTCTGCGATGACCAGAAGCGCCAAACCAAGCAGGTGAGTTTTTGACGTGTTGCTTCGCACTGCGACTTGAGTTTTACGACTTTCGAAAAATCAACTTCTTGTCGCAGGTAAACAGCGGCTCGCCTCTCGCCAATAAAGCACCGCATACCAACCAAAACTAAGGCAAAAGAGAAGCACACACAAGGCTTATTGTTACCATGGTTACTCTGTACTGGCCGTCGTGGAGCGATAGCGAGAGTGAATATTTGACGTGCACTCTAAAACCTTTCCGATTTGGAGCCACCTCTGATTTGAAGCGAAAAATTGGGCAACTTGGAGGCAATGGGTCAACACAAAGGAGTGGCTCAGTTCGATTGACTCTGGCCTCAGAGCAAACTTCAACATACCAGTTTCCTTTCACAAACATATTTCGAGTGAACAATCAACGCTGGTGATAGGTTTGCATGGTATGGGCCTATACAAATTTGGCTGACCTGTCAAGCCGTTCCGGTATCGAACCGTCGCCTCTAGTAAGTAGTAGCCAGTGCAGGCTGTCGTAATAAAACGACTCATCCGTGTTCCATTCCCGTGCATGGTACTACATGCATGGTGCGACGGCACAATGACAGCTGTCGCAAATCACACTGAGTATTACACGTGTTTTTTGGTGATTCCTGGTTAGCTGCTAGCTTTTCTCTACTCGAAGATGTTGCCGCCGCGAAATCTGGGGGTTTGTGTTCGTCCTGGCGAAAACCGTGTTTTGATCCGTTGAGGGAGACGAGAGATACAGTGCGAAGACGTACGATCTGTCCGAGAATCGGCGAAGAAGAAAGCTTCGCAGACGACCCGTAGTGGTTGGGAACAGAATGGAACATATACCAGTCGATGCCTGTCATGGCATCGGCGGCTAATGCTAGCATTATAACTAGCATTTAATATAATGATGGGTGTTTTGAAGAAGTAGCAGTGCTCGGCATCAGGTGGCATGTTTTTGGCTGGAGAAAGCATTATCAGTTCTATTTTGGTACAATACAAGACTTTTTACACGTCTTTTCACATGACAAGAGGCTTTTACAGACAGTGTACCGACACTCTTGCAGCAGGTACATGTATGATGTATCTGTCTAGTGTGGTCATGCATATACAACTACACTTCCTTATCTCAGTATGAGCCAATTGTGGTCCTCATGGTAGGGATGACTGCTACGAAGTTTTAGCCCCATGCTCCCCAGCGCTTTTTAGCGCCCGACGATAATTACCAAATTTCATCGATTTTCCATGTGGATCAAAGCATAGTCTCCTCAATCTTCTCCAGTCGAGCTGAGTCTGGACGCTACAATGTCGAGACGCGAAAAGAGAACATGCATGAACACACAGGAGCATCACATGCAGCTGCATTCTGCCTTGACGAAGCTGTGAGAACAACACCACCACCACGCATTTGGAAGACATTTCGAAGAAGACGAAGAACTACAGTCAACTTCGCTAATAACGACTGTGGATATAACGACAATTCGCAAATAACGACAGAATTTCCATGCCCAGAGCAAAGTCCCATCCCACTGTGATACATATAATGAGACTTCGGGTATAACGACACTTCGCGAATAAGGACACCTTTTTGATGCCCCGCCGAGTGTCGTTATAAGCGAAGTTGACTGTACATATCTGCGTTCAAAAAAGCCTCTGTACTGAGCAGGGAGTAGTAGTAAAATACATTTTACTACTCCCTGGTACTGAGTCTGTGCAGTATGCATGCGTGCATGCGCGAAGCACGGGGTCCGCGGATCAACTTCGTTCAAAAATCATTGTGCCACACGGGTTGTATGATTTGTGTGCGATCATGGTCTTTCTTCTTGACAAACAAAAGTGAAGTTTTTCGATCTTCAAATCGCCATAGCGTCCTTGTCATGACTCCAAATCAGCTGAAACTTTGCAGGAGGAATGAAAATGCCATGCTGAATCGATTGGTACCATTTTCGAAGGGTTTCCTTGAAAAATAAAAATTAGCCTGCACTGGCTACCTCTAGCACATGTACTAGTAGTAGTAGTGCTAGTACTAGATGATAGCGGGCGCGGCCTCTTCTACCGATCCAAGATTCATAATTTATCACATAAGCAACCTACTCGTACTCGTACTCGTACAGTGCTGGCAACTGAAATCCGACCCCCTGGGTGGCGCGCCGCCCAGGGGATCGGATTTCAGTTGCCAGCACTGTACGAGTACTGCTGTCGCGGACATGGAAATCCAGTCCATTGACCGGGGCCGGCGCCCTCAGCGCGTACAGAACGTCGTCGTTGCATATTATGTTGATACGATGCGGCCAGCAGCAGCGCGTAATAATATGTATCTAATATTGACTGAGTACGAGGTCAATAGGAAATAAAAGCCGAGTAAAAGACCGAGGCGAAGCCGAGGTCTTTTACGAGGTTTTTATTTCCTATACTGACCAAGTACGAAGTCAATATTAGATTTATCACGACAAACAGTCCGTATTTCAAATTCCAAAACGATAACCTCGTGAATCCCGGTTTTATGATTGCACAACCGTTGCACCACCACCTACTCATGCAGTGACAATGCTGCACTAGGCACCGTTCAACTGCGCGACCCCTAAGCAGTCAAATATAAGCAGTCAATATAGCCCTAAGTAGGGACTTCAGACCATTTTTTCAAATCGGTTTTCTGTGGCTTATGTTTTGCTTTTTGGATAGGTTAGAGCTTCCTGAGGAGTTTGGTCTTTAGTTTTTCTAAATCGGACAAAGGAAACTAAAGTTACAAGCAAAATAGTCATCGCCTATCACCGGATTTGTCCGACAAACGTCCCACACATTTGAGATCAGAGAGATATGTCAAACTGAGAGAACCCACTTTCCTTGGCAACGCATAGCAACCGCACACCAGATCCAAAAACAATCTTGATTCTCCGCATGAAATAGCTGAATAGTATGGTTTACAATGTAGTGGGTAGTAACAGGAGACATTGATAATACAGTCCTGAGATAGCTTCGGACTGTTGGCGTGGTTGGTGTCAAGAAAAAGAATGATCACGGAAGAGGCACTGACTAAGCTCAACATGTACATGTACAGGACATTGTATTGGCTGGGGTAATCGTAGCACGCACATCATCATCAGCAGAGATACAGCAAATAGCAACAAGAGTATACAGCACATCTCCCAGTTCGGCACTCTTTCAGCTATTCTTGCGGAGCTCAACCAGATCGAGCATAACAGCATTGGAGACAAGAATCGAGGCATGGACCGAAACAGCCAAGAGCAATTCAATTTGTACATCAGCATCATTTAGCGCAGGATACTTCTCGCTGCTTTCCATACTGTGACTATGGCGGCGCTGCACGGCAAAGTACAAAAAGGAATAATGCAAGAAATAGGTCTTCTGGAAGGGGAAAACAGTAAAGATTACCTTCTATCTAGACTAATTCGAGGTCGTAGAATACGAATATCACATTTTCAAGAAGGGGACCCGGACGGATCATATGGTTTCTCACCTTTCCCTTCCATCCGCATACGTATCTCCGTCAAAAATGAACGTAACAGCTCCATTCTTGCTGGTCCCAAACGAAGGCAAGCTCCAACAAGACGAACCGAAACTTTCTCCAACTGTACAAGACTTCCTTCATTTCGAAAAACGGTTCCACATTTCTTTACACGACTTGACATATGACCATCACACGCTGTGCAGGCGTCGATTTGCACGCTTTTGGGCCAAGAAGTCACGTGGTCTGAAGTCCCTACCCTAAGGCTAAGGAGTGAAATATGCAGGCTATATTGACTGCTTATATTTGACTGCTTAGGGGTTGGAGTGAAATATGCGGGCTATATTGACTGCTTATATTTGACTGCTTAGGGGTTGCGCAGTTGAACGGTGCCTAGTGCAGCATTGTCACTGCATGAGTAGGTGGTGGTGCAACGGTTGTGCAATCATAAAACCGGGATTCACGAGGTTATCGTTTTGGAATTTGAAATACGGACTGTTTGTCGTGATAAATCTAATATTGACTTCGTACTTGGTCAGTATAGGAAATAAAAACCTCGTAAAAGACCTCGGCTTCGCCTCGGTCTTTTACTCGGCTTTTATTTCCTATATTGGCGTACTCAGTCAATATTAGATACTTATTATTACTAATAATGCATGCCATGGCATGGCTTCAGTTCGGCTTCGTGGCGAGCGGTTGAGCGTTTCTGGGCTCTGATATTGGAGGAATTTCTTGGAGGAATTTCTTCGAGTTTTCGACTTTTCCAGTGCACTAGGGCATACTGCGCCTACGAACGGAGTTGTTCGGGGAGTTTACTCTCCCATAGCATGAAGGACTTGCTGGAGGTCTTGGAATCTCGTTGTTTTCCTCGATATTTCTTTTTACGGAATCACTTTCCCTCTCGAAGCACCATGGAGTTGTGACTCTGCAT